GTGCATGAGGGTGGGTTAGGCGGGAGGAGGGGGGGTTGAGTCGACACTGGTGGTCTGGATACAGGGGTGAGGGACCATATGCAGTGGGGTGGAGCTCAACAGAGGTTGTGGGTACCAGGGGATTCTGGATGTAGGAGATGAGACTCAGTGGGGTGCAGGTTCTGGTGTATATCATGGCTGGGGGTGGGTGGTTGGCTATAAGGGGTCTGTTTGCACAGGGCTGGGTGGATAAGGGAACAACTCCCTCTACAGTGATCCATCTCCCCATGGCTGAGGTGTGCAGCTTCCTGCAGCCAGGTGAAGTTTCTGGAGGTGGATCTGACCCAGTTGTGGCCACTCCATGCAGGGGAAACATGCTTGTACCTCATACCCAGCCCAGTCAGAACAGTTGAGCCTGACAGGGTACTAGCTATTGGCCAGGAGGCCCAGAGGTGGGGGGCTTCCAGTGAGGTGATGCAGGAAGCTCAGCAGGGAGAGCAGAAGGAGGTTTGGAGGGGGGTTCTGGGTGAAGGGTGTGAGGCTTGGCAGGTGGGTATGGGTGTGGAGATCCAGTTTTAATCTGCTCTGGGTACCCTAAACAATGCACCCCGTTTGCTGGGAAGGGGCAAGTGACCACTCTTCCAGCTGCCCTGTCAGAAATCTATTTTTTTTTCTGCATAGAAGAAAAGAAATCTGCAGGAAACATGAATTCTGTGCTCACAGAGTGGTGCAGAATTCCCTCAGGAGTAGAAAATCAGCTCAAACCATATGAAAATCTCAAAACACATTAAATATAATTCATTAGAATGTTATGATTTCAAATATATGTCACAACCCAGAAAAATGTCCCTGTTAATTTTCATTTGATAGGTGTTGAACATTAAGATATGACATTAGTCCCACAAAAGTCACCTGCATTTTTTATTAACATCAACAACACACTACAAGCAGATGTTACAGTATCCTCCAAAAGTGTTGTGCTGCACTGTAATCTCTAGTATTAATGACTTAATGTGTTACAGAGGATGGGTGCCCTAGAATATTCTGCTATGCTTCTGGCAAAAGAATATACTAATTCAATGTGAAATAAAATCCTGGATCATTAACTTAATTAGAGCCTCTAGTCAATTAACAATAATTGCTAGAGACCTGAGGCTCTGCAGTTTCCTAATAGGGGTCACACAAAGGATCACATCAATGTCTCCTGTATCAAGAAACTTCCTGTGTTGAACATGTGTTAGATGCCAGAGCTGTTCTTTAAATGATGTTGCTGAATCCACATTTTGAAATCTACCAATATTTTCCTTTTCTTTTGTGGGTATCTGATTATTTTAAAAACAGACTAAATTCACTTTATTATTTGTAAATGAGTTTTGTATTAGCCAGGTACCGCACATTCTAGCAAATTCTAATACCATGCAGATCCTAACTAAACAAATATCACCCCACCCTCTTTCCAGCTACGTAAGGCAGTATTTCTCAACCTTTCCAGATTATTGTACCCATTTCAAGAGGCTGATTTTTCATGTGTGTTCCCAAATTTCACCTCACTTTAAAATTACTGGTTTACAAAATCAAACATAAAAATGCAGAAGTGGCACAACACAGTGTTACTGAAAAATTGCTTACTTTATAATTACAAAACAAACTGATTGTATAAATACACTGAAATGTAAGTAAAATATTTATATTTCAGAGCAACATGCACAAATCATTATCTGGGTGAAATTGTATTTTGTACTACCTTTTCTAGACCTTATTATGTAACCCATTGTAAAACTAGGCAAATATCTAGAAGAGTTGACGCATACCCTAGAAGACCCCCGAGTACTCCCATGGTTGAGAACCTCTGACTTAGGGCACGGAAACCCCATAACTTCCTCACGGGAGGTAAGGCTCAGGGCTAGGATCTATTCCTTCTACCTACATATACCAGATAGGGTTGCCAGATGGTTTCAACAAAAATACCGGATGCACCTGTCATTACATCACAATCTACATTACATCTTATTTAGAAAATACCAGTCAATTTGTTTCCCGAACAAAAAGCTCAAATACTGGACTGTCCAGTTCAAAACTGGACACCTGGCAACCCTAGTACCAGACTAAGTTGCAATGGGGCACTGTCCCAGCAGCTACCCTTCTTGTTCACTAGCAATATGGTGCACAGAAACCCCAGAGAGCAGACACTAGTAGGAAGAGATTCCCTGGGCCAGTAGCAGGACAAGAGAAGGAGCCAATAATAGCAGTATAATTTCAAAGAGTTGAGAAACCACCTTACCTAAGAACCATCAATTTACCTGAATGTTTAATTCCAGGTAAATAATGAGGCAATCTGTCTGAGGGAAGGAATGAAGATCCCCTCCAATCCAAACGAAACCAGTTAATTTGTAATCTTGCACTTAGTATCTGTGAATCACCCTGTCTCTCTGTTTTGTCTTCCCTTGTCATGTCTCAGACCATAAACTCTACAAGGCAGTGTTCTTTGCACAGTGCCAGGTACAAATGGGCCCTGGTCCTGACTGAGGACTTTGGGCCACAATATAAATACATAACAGGTAATTACTATATATTTGAGAGAGTTTGTTTGTCTGTGAGAAAAGCAAGTGTGCCTATCTGACCATTTGTTCAAGTACTCCTTCAAAAATATAAGAGCTAGGACCACCAAATTTTGTATGCAGCTTCTTCCTATCACAACTTAAAGCAAGGTTAGGGTTTGACTGTGTGGAGGGGGGAGGACTGAAGCTCCTCCGCTCCCAATGCGTACAGAGATGCTTAAAATTGTAGAGAAAAGAGACAGAATCACCAGGCAGGTGAAAGGGGCTAACAGGGGCACACCTCCCGACCTCAGCCAGGACTGCCACAACCCTGAGCTTCCTATCCCCCCAAGAACCTTGTAGGAAGGGCAGAGGGGACTGTAGTTTCCCCTCCCCATTCATAAAGCAACATTGCTGCTTTTGCCCTTCATCAGGGAGTGAGGGGAAAGTGCACAGTTTGCTCTATTTCTCATTCTGGCAAGGGAGCGCAGGGGAAGATGAACCTGGACTTGCCCCAGGCAAGGGACAAGACTCCTCTGCCAGCTGAGCCAGCTGGAGCTGCAGTTGCCATGGAGGGGTACTTCTCACCTGGCCCAAGCTGCTGTGACGAGAAACGGCTGGGGTTGTCCTCTGTCCTTCTGGGACAGCCTGCATACTGAACCTCTTATCCCCAGCCCCACCCCAGAGCAATGATTGAAATGAAGAAAAACAAAACTTAATTGACCTAAGGACCTGACAATGCAAGGTAAATCTTCTAGTGATATGTATATTTCAGTAAAAGATAGGTTAGGTAATACAGGAAAGCAAATGGAGAAACTAGTTTCAACTTTGCAGGTTCTTATAGTGAATTTTCAAATCAACTGTTGATATTAAAGGATGGCCCCCAGTCCCATGAGTTTGTTTTCCCAGCTCTCATTTGCTCTTCACTTATCTATAATGAAACACTGAACATATGGCTGCATATATTTGTTGATTAATAACTAGAAATAAAAGTTGAAACATAATTACATTTCTATTAAGCAAGGGGGCTTGAGGATTTTCTCCAATGCTGCATACCCCCATCCTCCATCCATTGTATTGTAGTTTAAATAAATGACCTAACTAATTGAAATCAGCATGATTATAAAACATTATTTTAAAATATTGTGTGCAGAATTTTTAATTTTTTGGTTCGGAATTCCTCCAATAGTATAAAATGTCATGGTATTAAATGATTTAGACTTCCATTCCTCTGTCAGAAAGAACATTTAGACTTGCTCTGTTCTTTTCCTAAGGTTACTACAAGATTACCAATAGCAGCTGAAAGACAGTGAGTTTTTTCTACTTCTAAGCACAGCTTAATTGTAAACCTTTTTTTTTCTATAGTCAGAGAATAGAAATTAAAATGACATTGGAGCTCTTATGTATCATCAGAAATCACAGTATGCCAGGTCAGATATAGTACTCTGATACTCCCATTTTATAGCTGTGTAGTTCCCAAGCAACAGTGAATCAGGCCCAATAAAATTGTGGACAACAGCAAACTGCTTCTTTGGTTTAAGAGATGGTAATTAAATGAAGTATTGAAATTGGTTTAGTAAATATAAGTGCCAAGCACCATGTTAATGAAAGTTACTCAGAGGATTCCTAACATGAAACACTTCAATTTAAAGCATGGGATTACAGTAAAGCACACCCTTAAGTATTGACCTGAATGGGAATGCTTTTCCTGAATCACACCATAAAAAATTAAAAGGCATTGTAAAGTGTCAGATAATCATGCTGAAGTCATTTTACTTAGAAAATTAAATAGTGCAAGGCTTGGATAAATTGTCTATTGCTCATACTTGAGGGGGTCTCTGTATCCCTGTATCCTAAGCATATCTTTCTATTTTCACCTGAAGCCTAAGACTCACTGACTGTTCTCAAATCAAAGGAGGCCTGCAAGGGTCTGTGCTCTGAACCTGTTGATACTTCCTCTAAAATGGCCAAAAGGGTCCATGCCCTGTGACTCCTTTCTTTCTCCATAGGGAAGAGTGAATTTAATCCTCCTGTTACACTCTGCCTTTGCTGACTAGGAAAATGTACTGGGTTTTCCCCGCACATACCGGTACAGAGCATAAATTCCCATTTAACAAAGTGAATTGTAGCATGCTGTTTGAGAGAGATTTCACCTTTTTCATTTTAGGTGCTGCCATGTTTGCACATTTTATAAATATTAAAGGAAAGGTCTTTGGTGTGATAGGACTGTAATATTTATATTGTTGGCTAAAAAACAAAACATGGAATTAACATACATATGCCTCTCTCCCTGATCACTCTGCTTCTATTCTGTTTCCTCTCATGCCCTCAAGATCTGCTTTTTGTCGTATATGACTGCAAGACATTTGGGGCAGACACTTTCTACCATGAAACTGATGGGTGACATTTGACACAGGACAGAACAAAAAGACAATTTCACCCTCCCCATTTCACTCTAATCCCAGAAGGAAAAGAAGATCGTACCTGTATATCCGGTTTTACAAACACAGTTGAAGCTTCCGGGGAAGTTCTGGCAGGTGGCAGCATTTTTACAGGGGCTGGACAGGCACTCATTGATGTCTCTCTCACAGGCCATTCCAGTAAAACCATCTGGACAATTGCATGAGAAGCCTCCCACCAAGTTGTGGCAAGTCCCATCATTGTGGCAAGGGGATGGGAGACATTCGTCCATGTCAGTTTCACACAAATTACCATCATATCCTGGCATGCACCTACACACAAAAGGCTGCAGAGGTTCATTTGCCATGATGATGACTGGGATGCTCTCATGGCTCTTTAAAATAGGTTTCACAGCCAGCCTTCTCAGACAGCTTCCTCCATTTTGACATGGGCTTTGTACACATGAATCATGATCTACAGACTCTATCCTTACTCCACTCTGACGGAAAAGGATTTCTTTAATGCTCTCAAAGAAGGTAGCCACACCACTGGGATTCACATACTGATTGTTGTTCCGTTTCACAGCTGCCATCAGGTAGGTTCTGTTACTCTCTTCATAAACCCCATAGAGCTGCACAGCTGTCCCTAATCCAGGCAACTGTGAACTGGCAATACGCAGGAAATGAAGGTAGTGGTTGGTCAAAAAATCTCGCACAGTTTGCACACCAAGGCGAAGAAGGATGCTGTTGTCAATTGTAGCATTACTGAATCCTGAAAAGAAAACCCGAACATTGCTAGTAACTGCATTGTGTAACCCATCGTTGCTCAGGATTGTCAGATCAAATGTTCCATCTGTGGACCTTGCCTGAGAATTCAGATCACAGGAACCCCCTGGAATATTAAAGAGGCTTGTAACTCCTGAAGTGAGGGAACAGTGGAAGCTGTCTAAAACATCTGGATCCTGGGGTTTCACACTACCTAAAATTCCACCTGGGAATAGGTTGCCATAATAATGAACAAAGATCTCTACTGTTCTAGGTTGTGAAGGATTGTCATTTTGGTCTATTACTTTGATTTGTACAGTTCCTGTAGAAGACATCTGAGGGATGCCAGAGTCTCTGGTAATAACTGACAGGTAGAAGTCGCTTATCTGCTCTCTGTCTATTTCCCTAGTTGTGGTCAAAATTCCTGCAGTGCTAAGACTAAAATAACTTGTTGCAGGACCAGTGCTAAGCAAGTAGTAGGTAAAGGGCCCTTGATTTGGAGGGAGATCAGGATCTGATGACTGAAGTGTCATCACATGAGTTCCTGCACGAGTATTTTCCATTACTTCTCCCTGACTGGTAGACAGGGTAGGTCCATTATCATTGATATCTTCCAAAGTTACGAATAAAGAGGTACTTCCTGTGGCTGAAGGTGTTCCTGAATCAATTGCTAACACAGTCAGGTTGTAGAGAGGTAAAGTTTCTCTGTCCAAGTCTGCAGTGACAGTCACCTGTCCTGTTTGTGGATTGATGGAAAAGGCACCATTGTCATTCCCATAACCAATAAAATAGGAGAATCTGCTCCAGCTTGGGACGGAATCTGAATCAAAGGCACTTACAAATGTGACATGAGTCCCTGGAGGAACACCTTCACTGATCTGTACATTGTAAACCTTGAGGCTAAAAACAGGAGGATCATTAGCATCTAAGACAGTTATATTTACTATTACTTCATCTACATCTGCACCACGAATGCTCCCAGAATTTTTTGCAAGAACTTTCAAAGAGATACGCTCTTACTTTTCTCTGTCAAGAGGACCTGAAACATAAATCTGTCCACTCTTCTCATTAATCTGGAAACCTTTCTTTCTGCTACTGCCATAGATAAGATATTGCACTTCTCCATCAGTTCCCATATCACGGTCACTTGCAAAGACTTCTCCAACAACCATTCCTTTAGACGCTGCTTCAGAGACCTCAAAATAGTAAAGCTTAGACACAAAACGTGGCACATACTCATTTGTTCCTTCTAACTGGATGTTGACACTAGCAAAACTGCATCGCTCTTCATCTGGAACATTAAAAGCTTTCACAGTTAGATGATAACTTTGTTTTGTTTCATAGTCTAAAAACCCTTGGGTGGTGATAATTCCTGTGTTGGGATCAATGACAAAAAGGTCACTATCTGAGGACTGAACTGCATATGCAATCACAGCATTAGGTCCAGAATCGGCATCAGTTGCATTTAGACGGATAACAGTTGTCCCACTCGGGGCATTTTCTAATACATTAGGAAAATAGTCTTCTGGGCTGAATACTGGAGAATTATCATTCACATCAATAACATTAACTGTGACACTGCAGTAACCTGTTCTAGCTACCCATCCTCCATCTGTAGCACTAACAATCATCTCATGATTTTGGCATACCTCATAATCAAGGAGTTTGGCTAGAGTTAATGCTCCTGTAGATGTATTAATAGCAAAGACACCAGCCTCATTTCCTGAAAAAATATTATATGTGATTAGTCCATTCATAGCAGCATCTCTGTCCCGAGCTGAAACAGTTCTAACAACTGCTCCAACCACATGACTCTCAGGGATAGTAACACTTATATGGCTTTGTGAGAACTCAGGTGTATGGTAGTTTTCCTCTGTGACAACTATTTGAACAATAACCTCCGATGAGAGTGGGGGGTTACCTTTATCCTTTGCTTTTACTGTAAGCAGAAAGTTTTGGTTCAAATCAGTCATGAGTGAAGACGCTACAGAAATCCAGCCTGTAGTTCTCTCCAGCTTGAATTTATCAGCATTGTTTTCATTAGAAATGAAGTATTCAACTTCAGAATTCAATCCAAAGTCCTTATCATCAACTGCTGTAACTTTAATTAATTTAGTGCCAACACCTACATTTTTAGTCACAGGGGTAAAATATTTACTGGCAAGAAACTGTGGTGCATTGTCATTGCTATCCACTATGTTGATTGTGACTGTCGTCTCACTCAGCAAAGAAGGACTGCCTCGGTCTGAAGAAGTAACTATGAAGCTGTGCCTATTGATATTCATGTTGCTGGAACCACTGGAGTTTTGATACCTTAAATATTGCTTATTGAAAATCTCCCCAGTGGTAGCATTAATTCGGAAGTACTCAGACTGGGATTTTATGAAGTAGAAAACTTGGCCATTAGAGCCTTCATCAGGATCTATTGCTGAAACCTGTGTGACTTTTAATCCAACTTCAGCAAGCTCGGGACAATCTAAGTAATAGGATGTTTTTGTGAATCGTGGGGCATTATCATTGATGTCGGTCACAAATATAGTCACATCTGTGCTTACAGTCCACCCAGAATCACGTGCAGAAACTCTGATTCTATAGCGGTCTGTATCTTCCCTGTTGAGGTGCCGACTGATTGTAATGTCCCCGGTACTGGGGTTGATGATAAATGGAAGACTTGTATCCCTTATAAAGTACCTGCTGATTGCATTCAAACCAATATCTTCATCTGAAGTTGTGACTCGTGTAACTGTGTAACCCAAAGGTGCATTTTCAGGCACTGGAGCACTGAATATCTGAGAAAACCTGGGAGCATTATCATTTTCATCTAAAATATTAACAATAACTTTTACTGTGGTGCTCTGAAGAGGGGTACCTCTGTCTGAAGCTTTGATGGTTAGTGTGTAGCGAGCCAATTTTTCTCTGTCCAAGGGTCTGACGCTTCTAATTTCACCTGTGGATCGACTAATACTGAAACTATTTTCTTTATTGCCATCAACTATTTCATAGTTCAACTGTCCATTTGAGCCACTGTCCTTGTCCACAGCAGTGAGAGTCAGAATTTTACGCGGTGAAAGGTTCTCCATTATTTCAGCAATGAATGGATCTCGCTCAAACTCTGGTGCATTATCATTGACATCTACCACTGTTACTTCTAATTTCTCATAAGAGGAAAAAGGAGGAAAGCCCATATCTCTGGCCTCAATCCAAACCACATATTTCTGTATAACTTCAAAATCCAAAGGTTGGCTCATGGAGAACTGTCCTGTTAGTTGGTCAATTTGGAAGGTATTGCCAAGGTTACCACTAGCAATGTAGTATGATAAGGACCCACCCCTGGACGAAGATCCAGAAACTGTGGTGACTAGGGTACCAATCGCTTGATTTTCAGGAAATATGAAAGTCCGTTGCTCAGCTTGAACTTGAGGGAAATCTGCTTTGTTGGCAAATCTTACAGTTACAGTTGTAGAGTCTGTTTTTGGATACAAGCCACCATCTTTTACATGAACGGAAAAAGTCACTTCAGAAGCCCCTGTCAGTGGGTCAGCAGCCATAATTGCCCCTCGCATTGGGTCAATGTGGAATTTTTCAGAGTTCTTTCCCATGAGGGAATAATGAAGCTCAGCATTGGATCCAGAATCAGCATCTGTGACTGTCACAGCAAACACAAACGAACCTGCCAAGAAGTACAAAGAGAATAATTAATTTTATGTAACAAAAATAGGACATTGGAAAGTAATTTTTCAATGTGAAGCACTGGGAATTATGCACACCAGCCCTGTTGTTTTTCATGGTAATCTGATGCTATTCTGACAATTAAACCTTTTTCATAAGTATAAAAGGGAGTATGAGATACTATGCCAAATTTTCAACCATTTAAGGTCTACTTCCATATGCGTGCACACAGACACAAAATGCATGCATGTGCGTAAATTTCGTTTGTTCCTGAAAATCAGGTAAGTGCATTCACAAAAATAAATTAAAAATAGATAAATAAATATTGGCTATATCTACACAAATGTCAGTGCCTACAAGCAAATGAAAATTTAGCATTGTATTTTGACTGTATTCACTAAATAAGATTTTATGAAAACTCTAATTCTAATATCTTGTATAGTATTTGATCATTTTAATAATAATAAATGTATAAATTTTAATAATAATTTCAATAATTTAAGAATGTTAAATTATTCTGTATATTGCATAAAAACCTTTCACAATGTGTACGCACCATATTTAGGAGTGTCAGCAGTCCAGCATATGTGGACTGTTTGGGTTTGCACTTGTACATATTTGTTTGTACATGCAAACCCAAGACATACACATGTATATGTGGGGGTACTTGTGTGATTAAGTTTTGTATGCACGCTTTTGCAAATTTGATGATGTACATCTACTATGCTGGATGTCCATTCACTGGTTTTGCTAGTACTGAAGTTTGGCTCACACCAGGTGTCGATATTAATCATGTCATTTTAAAACTCTGAAGGCAAAATCTATGAAGAGCAAGAGTGACTTTGACAGTGTTCCCTGAAACCATGTCTTCTTGTTGCTATTTTTTCGAGAGCAACATTTTATCCCCAAAAGGGAAGAACTGCTAGATAAAGAACACCAAAATTCAGCATTATTGCAACACTTGAGCTTGACAAGATTGGGGCAAAACTAAGAGTTCTGCTTCAGTTAGGCACATTAATATTAATGTGGTTGGGATGACTTGTCATAACCCCATGTTTTAGCCTGAAACAAAAATTAAAGCAGCCAAGCTGGATTCTCATTTCCAAGTGTGCATTAAGACCACTGTGTCTACTTTATTGTCTTTGAGACTATCACATTACACCACATTCTACTACAATTAGTGCTGTGTCTGCCAAACCCATTATCATCAACGATTTTTTTGAGTAGTTTGAGGGAATTCTAAAATGTCCTTTTAATTGAAGCTTGACATACAGGTTCTCTTTTTTAAAAAAAATTTAAACAATGTTTCATTTAAATGTATTTGCTGTTTTTAGTTAGTGAAGTAAAAAGAAATTATGACTGACTACATTTTGACATTTTATTTTCTATTAAAAAAATAATCCTATATTAAAAATTATAGGACACTATCTGATAATGTCACATAATTCAAATGTGTTCTGCTTGAATGCATGAAAATGAAAACTTCAGCAAGAAATCTACCCATATGTTACTGATCTCAGATCAGCTATGCACTGCTCATAATGTATGAAGTTTCATCTTGTATAACAAAGGTCTTTGTTGATGTTGTTGTTCTGAAAAGGGAAAGAAATATGGACAAAATACATCATTTCTTAAAAAAACCACTATTTGGAATCACTTAAATTCAAAAGATTGGACACAGTTCCTGGCCATGAGATATATTATTTCTTAAAACGGATAATAAATATCTTCTATACTGGGAACATGTGTGTTTGTGTGTACAGAGTGTGCAATCTTTGCAATGAGAGCAATACTGTGCAATTCTGTGATTCACATTATAAAACTTTCTGTTTTGAAAGATTAGGGATTCCAGAGTTATTCAACTTTAAATCTGGTGGAATCTTTCAGTTTAAGACATTTTTTAATTGTGACAACTGTATATAGGTTGAACCTCTCCAGCTGGGCACTCTCTGGCTCGGCAACATCTGTGGTCTGGCATTTTAGTTAGCTGGATGTCCACTTTTCTTGGGAGTGGCCAACTTTCCCGAGGTCCCATAACGCTTGTTTACAAGTCACCAGTCCTAGCTCTCATTGTTCTGTGCTGTTATTTAGCTCCGATTTACCCCTGAATATCTTCTGAGAGCCCATCAATCAATGTAAGGGTTGGTAATGCTGCTAATATTGACCTCCTGTGGTTTGGTAAATTCTCTGATTCAACACCAGTCAGATCCCCAGGGTGCCAGACTAGAGAGGTTCAATCTGTTTATGAATGTTTTGGGATTACAATGAGGCAAAAATCTGCAAAGATAAAATTGATAATAAACCAGTATATATACTTTAGCCCATGAAAGGTTATTTTAATCTGGGGTTTCAAAGTCATTTTACCTTAGGGTCAGGGCCAGTCCTCAAATCCTCCTACCATGCCAATAGGCACCCCTCTCTGGCAGGGCCCCAGAGAGGGGATCTCTGCGCTCCACCTCTGGCCCACATCCTTCTCACACCGCATGTGTTCTGGCCTTGCCTGCTGCCCCCAGATGATGTAGCACAGTTTAGAAAAGTGGAGCTACTGAGTTATGTAAGGGGACTGTTACCCCTTACTAAAACTCTGTGGGAGTTTTTTGGTTTACCAGCTTCAGAAGGGGAAGGGTTCATGAGACTGAGAGACCCCAGAGACAATGGAAAGCAGTCAACACTCCAGCTCAGCCTGACTGACAGGTTGTAAGTGGGGATTGTTCTGGCTCTGGCTCTGAACAAACAAGCTGGGTGCAGGAGAGGTCCTGAAAAGACAGAGAGCTGAAAGAGGAGTACAAGAAGAAGTCCTGCAGCGACAGAACCAGACACAGACTGGCCAAGCAGTGCAGACCCTGTGTTGAGCAGCAGACTGGCAGTGCTCAGAAAGCCAAAAGGAACAGAGAAACAACACAAGGAGCTGGAACTGGCCAAGCAGCACAGCCTGCAGCTGGATGTGGTGAGCTACTGGGACCTGCAAAGTGTGGGGAAAGGCTCTGGACTGGGAGAGGGGTCTGGCCACTTAGAGACTGAGGCTGTGTGGTCACTGCCAGTGCAAGTGTGTCCAGCCTGCAGCCCCTTGCAGCACTTCCAGGGCTTCTAAGGAAGAGACTGTGAACTGTCCTTACACTCTGCAGACTGCTGTGTTGATGTCCCTGTGCTACAGAGCAGGGCTGTGTGTTCTCATTTAACCATTCTCATTGTTTCTTATTCTATTCTCTTTAATCAGTTGATGTTTAATAAATTGTATTTGCTTTGAACCTTATGAAGTGATCACTGGGCCAAGAAGGCCTGCAGTGTAAAGAGAGCACCTCGGAGTGGGGACACCCTAACTCCTGCCCCTAGTGACTACAAGGTCAGGGATTAAGCCCCAGGAAACCTGGGCCCAGCCTTGTTGGGGTTTCAAGGGCTCTGCTACTCAGGAGAGTGGAGGGGGAGCCCTCAGGATCAGGGAGCCGTGGGGTAAAGGAAGTGGGAGCGGGGACTCAGATCCTTTCGCTGGTTCATTTCACCGGGGTGTATAGAAGCCAGGAAAGTTCCCCACAAGAGCGGGACCATTCCCCCGCTTACAGTTAGCCCAGGAGATGGCAGTGGAGTGGAGCTGAGGCTGCTGTGTTGTTTTGCTTCCCCACATCTCCTGCCACCGCTCTAGATGTGGGGGGGATAGGGGCAGGCTCTCTGCTGCTGCCCTGCATCAGGCATCCTGGTAATCCCCACGGCTGTGTCCCTCAGTTGAGGGGGCTTGAGGGAAAGGGTGTAATGGGGTGGGGAGAGGGAAAAGGAAGGGTGGGAAGAGGTGGAGTAAAAGTGGAGCAGTGGCTGGGCTTAGAGGTCGGGTATGGATACTCTCTGCCCCAGGTCCACAGGAATTGACGTGCCAGCAAGTCTGTGCAGGTCGGATCATGGAACTTCTCAGGCCCCTGGGCCATGAGTTTGAGACCCTTATGTTATGTAATAAATCCTACTGAAATCTCAATGCAATGTACAGTTTCTTAATTACGCAATTTAAAAACCTCACTAAGTAACCAGATGGATCCTTCTATTTCAACTATTTTAAAAAGGTAATAAAAACCAGATAAGGTCAGTTAATAATTAGGCATCTATTATTCATGAAACATTATGACCTTCTGTGATTAAAGAGTGCTATTAACATTCTATATTTAATATATGGCAAAGCCTCTTGATTCACAGAATCACTATTCACAGTTCTGCATATTCGCCAGGGTCTCCTGTCCCATCCTAAGGAAAGAGCAGGGGGCTGGGAGCTGCAGAGCTCTTCATGGTTCCCAGCTTAGGCAGTGAGTTTCCTGCACTTCCTGGCCCTCACAATGAGTCTGGGCTCCCAGTATTTGTGAATTTCGCCATTCACAGTGGTGCCAAGAAGGCCTCTACCATGATCGGCGAGGGTATTCCACAAGCGCTCAATCTATGCATGAAAAATATTAATAAATATGTCACTTTAGGATTTTTCACTTCTAATACACTTATATTTGTTGAAATATAAACTGTATAACTCAGCAGCCCAATCCTACAGTCATGTAAAATTTGGATGTGCAAAGGTATGCAGGATCCATGAATGTTTACACAAAGTGGGAAGGCTATTTAACTTCAAGAAATTTCCAGAGAAGCCTTTATAACTGAAGGCTTTGTAATACGGATAAGAATCACTATAAATATTTTTGAAATATTTTCTGAGAACTTTTCAGACACGCAGAAGGTCTTTTTAAATATGAAGAGGCGATTTTCAAAGACAAGAAGAGCAGTTACCACCTCTTCTTTTAAATATCACTTTATCGTTTCTTTTTCTTTTAGATTTGGGATTTTAAAGTTACTGTAAATGTTAAGTCATGCCCGCTGTTAGGCTCCTTTGTAATGCTGCTATCAGAGAGATGTAAAGGGCCTTAGAATAAATGAGGTTAAGACTATGAGTATTGTCTTTGCCTTCACAAAGAAATAACCTATAAAGAAAACAAAATTAATCATTTAAAAAGTGTATATACTATGATTATTTGCTACCTTTTAAAAATTAAATAATATTACTATTTGTACAGAATCAAGTGTGCACATGACACTTTGGAAACACATGGGAAGACAAATTTCCTACTGTAATCACAAGACGCTTAAATAGACAAGTTTTGGTATTCAATATCGATTCCCTTGAAAAAGGGATCTTTTCACCACGGAAGTTTGAATGTTAGAATTTATGTTTGGTCCACTAAGAACTGTCACATCAACTGATCTGTATGCTTTTTCTCAATAATAAAACATCTAGAACTTTTTTGTCTTCAATGTTCTTTATAAAGATTATTTAATGTAGCCTTTCATAATCACTGTTGTGAATTAATAATAAACTAAACAAAATAACCATTCTTCTGGATAACAATGCATATATTGTAACTAGGGAGTTTTAAAAGAGGATGATTTCATGTGGATATGAAAAGAAAAAAGCACTGAAGAAAACATTATAATTACTAATCCTTTCACTGTCTCATCTTTTTTTAACTGTTCCAACAGCATGCACCAAAAACAAGATAGGCAATGTAAAATAGTTACAAGAACATATACTTTACAGATATCTTATGGAATGATCCATCATTGGATCAGATTTTTATATTATCTCTGATATCTAGAGAGCTACCATTATCAAATTACCTGAAGTTGTAGGTGATGGAATATGTGTGACGTAAGGGTGGTGTTGAAATTTGGGAGGATTGTCATTCACATCAATAACAGTGACAAGTACACTGGTGGAACTGGAAAGCGCTTTGGGAAAGCCACCATCGCTGGCCACAACCACTAAGGTGTAGTTCTCCTTAGTCTCTCTATCTAATAATGCACTGGTGATGATCTGTCCAGTTGATGGATTGATTGTGAATTGTGAATTACCACCAATAAGACTATAGCTGTTCAAAAGACAAAAAAAAGTCATTTTCCATTAGTATTGTCATAAGAAACTCTGTTATGAGGATATTAAATTATTTAAACTATTAAGATTGCTGACTATCATGCTGACCAATATTGTCTCATTGTTTCTTTGTGTTTCTCCATTTGTCTACCTGTATCCAATCATTGTTTTTTGTCTTATACTTGGATTATAAACTCCTTGAGGCAGTGACTATGTTCTATGTACAATACCCAGTACAATGTGGTCCTAAGTGCTAAAGTAATAAAAAGCAATAACAATAAACTAGAAATGAAAAAAAAAAACTCCAAGGTGTACTTAACTACAAAAACGGAAAAAAACAACAAATGGTCTGGTAGACTAACAAAACATGTATATGGTATCATGCGCTTTCGTGGGCACAGTCCACTTTTTCAGATGACCAGAGTTATGAGTTTGGGATATGAAAACTCGAAATAAATAGGAGAGGGGAAGGAGAGGGGGAAGAGAAAGAAAAAGGTAGAGAGGTGGGAGACAGAGCATCATTAATTACCTGACTTGTATATTCTGACCTGTGTTTCTACAACTTAATAGTCTTCGCTTTGGAAATCAGCATTTCCACAAGTTTTTACCTCCAAACTGAATTAGCCCAAAATGTTGAACAGTTGGGTTGAGCAGTACAAGACGCAGTATCTCTAGAAGCTACGTAGGAAACTTCCTAGCTAGCTACCATTTTGGTGCCAAAGAACACACAAAGTTGTAGGAAATACTCATTAATGCTCCTAACTCATCACTTCTTTAATCAAAACTTCTATCCTGCATTACAGACCTTCATCATTCAACATATTGTGAAACCTGCACAATATTACTGGTACAATGAAGTTGATTTGAAATTTAAGACTGTATTTACTGGGCAACTGAGGTTTGCTGATATTTTGGCCAGTCATTTAAGACAGGTTTCTCTGTACTCTTTTTAGGACTTTGCTAAAGTGTGGGAAAGCTCATTCGATACCTTTCATTAACATTTCACAGATGATGACAGGAAATGATCTAAGCAGAATGGAGTCTGTTCTGCTTTCTTGGAATTAGAATGAGCTGCTGCAGTTGGGAGATTATTTTAATTGACCCTTCAAGGAACTGACAAAATTTGCTTGCTTTATAAAGATGCAGATGAAGCAGAATTGACAGGGCACATTTGGGAATAAAATGCAGCAGTTTCTTGAGACTGGAGCCTGACAGTTGAAGTGGATATACTAATAGACTAAATATAATTCCACAAGGATGAGCCCTTCCAATCTGAATTTGTAAAATGCATTGAGGAGTAAAGATTTGTAAATAGCAGTAAGGATTTGTAAACTGACACGAGTATTGTTTTGCTATGTAACGATCCTGAGCCAAAGTCTGCTTTTGTTTTCACCAATTTTAATCCAGAATAATTAACTTGGAATCAGCATAGACAAATGCTGCTCCCATTTGGCTTGCCTTTTAACGTGTTGAATCATGTATTTGTAAAGTATTAATTATCCAGAGAAAAATGTGCTATAGGTCATTAGAGAGGCTCCATCTTACTGACACTCTTGGATTGTCAGTCTCACTTCTAGTCAGCACTGCCAAATGGGCCATTGAATGTCCAGTTGGCAGTGCTGCAGAGCATAGGCAGGCTACTTCCTACCTGTCTGGTGCACTGCTCTGCTCCCCAGAAGCAGCCAGCAGGTCCCACTCCTCCTGGGGCTCCGTATGCTACCACCACTGCACTGAGAACTGGTTTACACTCCAATTGGCCAGTTTCTGGCTAATGGGAACAGAGAGGGCTGTGTCTGTGGACAGCGATGGCAGTGTGCAGAGCCCTGGAAGCAGCAGGACCTGCCCCTCCTCCTCACCTAGGAGCTGGACCTGTTGGCTGCTCCCGGGGCAGAGCACAGTGCCTCAGGAAGGCAGGCAGCCAGCCTTTGCACTGCTGACTGGGAGCCACCCAAGGTAAGCTTGAGGCCCAATCCCCCCATCACACCCCTGAACCCTCCTCAAACCTGGAGCCTTCTCCTGCATTCCTGACCCCTAATCCCCAGCTTCACTCCAGAGCCCTCACCCCCTCCCACATACCAACTGCCTGCCCAAGCCTAGTGAAAGTGAGGGTTGGGGAAAATGAGCCTCTAAAGAAAGGGAAATGCAGTGGATGGGGGAGGGAGGGCTTGGGGAAGGGGCGGAGCCTCAGGCAAGGGGCAGGGCTAGGCTGTTCAGTTTTGTGCCAATAGAACGTTGGCAACCTTCAGCAGATTGTGGATTTTTTTTTCCAAATGACCAGGTAATATAATGAATTGTACAATTTTTTAAATAAAAAAGGTAGAAGTGGATAATTCCAGTCTATGATATTATAACCTTGATAAAAGCAAGACACATAATTGTAAGGAAAATTACTTCTTCAGAAATGCCTGAATCTTCATGATCAGCACTGTTCAATCTAAATATTTCTGTGGTGATCCAGAAAGAGAATGGCCATATGAAAAATGCATAAAAATATTATTTTTGCTGCTTATTTTAAATAAAAATGTGTTATGGCATGATGAGTCACATAGGCTTGGGCATTTCCTAGGGAATCAATAACTGCTTCGAAATGATGGCAATAAACTCTCACAGGCAAGTTATTAATCCCCAGAAAATGCCCTGGACACAATCTTAATTTATTTACTGGCTAAAGAGATATTAGTCTGGAGGTGAAATTAATCCTTATGCAGAAACCTGTAAAAGGCCTAATGAACTATTTAAGTCTCACTAAAGCCTTAAATTACAGGGCACATATGGGCAAAGTTAACCCCTCACCTACAGTGTCCTAACACAGGCTGTTATGATAGTGTCATCATAGCATCCTCTTTATTACCCTACTTATACCAAATTTCCTTGTTAAAGGACAGCACAAGTATTTCCATAGATAAATACTAGAAAGAAGTGTTTTTAAATAAAAAAATTAACAAAAATTAACACTTAAAAGCAGAACCTGTTCAATTCCACTATCCAGGCATGATTCAGGACAAAATTTGGGTAAAATAACAAAAATAAACAAACAAACAAACACAATCAGTATTACCAATCATTAGCCACAAATCAAAACATTCTTACTCCAATGTCCCATTCTTCTCAGACAATAAATTAATATTTGTCAACTATTTATAATTTTAATGGAACTTTATAAGATTTTATTTGTTAATGTGACAGCATCTAAAATCCACAATCAGGTGAGGCCTCATTATGTCAGAAGCTGTAAAAACATAACAAATCAGAATTACTGCCCTAAAGAACTTAGCATCTAAAACAATGGACAATAAAAACATGTTTATATTACAAAATATTGATTCATTGTTGACTTGTATACTTTTCCTTTTCAGATAATGATTTACAATGTCAAAATGGCATGTTATATATTTAGAAACCATGAATCCATACTTACAACTGATCACACTGGCAAACCCTGGGACCCATGTGGATTTCTATCGTATTCAGTGACATTCTGTGATGGCACAAGAGTTTGCCTCTGAAGTCAAAGGAACTCTATACCTGCATGGAGTCAGTTGTAGGACCAGAGTCTACACTTGACATACTGTATTTATGACAAATGGCCCAAAATCTGGGTATTACTCCTGCGATAGGGTATGTAAACCCTATATTGGACAATGAAGAGTTAGGAAACAGCTGTGGGTTTAGCCAATCCTGTCTCACCACACCTGCAAGAAGAGGCTTGAAAAGGAGCTTAGCAGGGAGTAAAATTGCTCACTATCTGGCAGACCAGAGAAGAGAACAGATATTCATCCCTCAGTTTTGGATTAAAGAAAAGGGCAGACTAAAGGCAGGAGCTTCTCAGACAACCACTGCCTAAAGGCTCTGACGGAAGGGTGGGACCAGATCCAGAGGGTCAATCCCCTCTATCCTTTACTAACTCAGTGTTAATTCACCCGGCATTTTGTTCACAGATTACCTGGGAGGGAAGAGACTTTAAAGTGACCTGGCTAGCTGGCCAAGTCACAGTAAGAGGCAGGCCACTACAGAAGTAGAAAGGGAGCTGACCAACCAAGAGGAGGGAGCTAATTCCTTTACACTCCTGACACTCACATTTCATTGCAAAGTGTATGTATATATACCCACTTCACATAAACTAGCACATTCAAATGTTCAAGGGCTAGATTCCTTGAGCAGTTTCCAGCCCAGGTGATTCCTACACCTCACTCCCTGTAAAGATACCCAAATACTGTCCTAATCCACATACAGCATTGACTCTCATTTCTTGATTTTATCTGAATATACTTTAAACAGAAATTATAAGGTGTTGGACTTCAGAATCCCATTTTCTAGAAGACTGTGGCAACAGGGGACCCATATATATGGCTTTCCCATTGCAGAATGCAGTACAAGCAAGCAAGATTTAACAGACCCACCAAATTATGTAAAATACAGTCAACAACAAATAGTATTATTACTATAACAATCACTGGACATGGCCAGATGTTCATGAAATGGTCTTGCAAAACCATTCGGTCTTGCAAAACGTAAGTCGGATCCGCGTAAGTCGGGGACTGCCTGTAGTAGATTTTTAAAATGGTGACCGTATGCGAATATGCTAATCAAGCACGGAATATTTAAATCCCGTGCTTCATTAGCAACTTCGGTATGTTACATTTGCATCTCTAGTTCAGACTAGGGAGCAAGTGTAGACATACCCTAACAGATTTATTAGGGTTAGGGTTAGGGTTAGGGTTAGGGTTAGGGTTAGGGTTAGGGTTAGGGTTAGGGTTAGGGTTAGGGTTAGGGTTAGGGTTAGGGTTAGGGTTAGGGTTAGGGTTAGGGTTAGGGTTAGGGTTAGGGTTAGGGTTAGGGTTAGGGTTAGGGTTAGGGTTAGGGTTAGGGTTAGGGTTAGGGTTAGGGTTAGGGTTAGGGTTAGGGTTAGGGTTAGGGTTAGGGTTAGGGTTAGGGTTAGGGTTAGGGTTAGGGTTAGGGTTAGGGTTAGGGTTAGGGTTAGGGTTAGGGTTAGGGTTAGGGTTAGGGTTAGGGTTAGGGTTAGGGTTAGGGTTAGGGTTAGGGTTAGGGTTAGGGTTAGGGTTAGGGTTAGGGTTAGGGTTAGGGTTAGGGTTAGGGTTAGGGTTAGGGTTAGGGTTAGGGTTAGGGTTAGGGTTAGGGTTAGGGTTAGGGTTAGGGTTAGGGTTAGGGTTAGGGTTAGGGTTAGGGTTAGGGTTAGGGTTAGGTAAAATCCACTTCATTAGATGAATTGTAGTGGAAGTTACAGAAGCAGGAGTATATATATATATATATATAAGGAAGAAGTTGCTTGTGTTACTGAAGCTAATCAAGTCAGGGTCACCTGCAGGATCTTTATCAAGCCTTCTTAAAATTTAAATATCCACCCAGGGAAGTGAAGAAACAGGTTGTTAGAGCCAGATGAATACCCAGAAAACACCTGTTTCAGGACAGGCTGAACAAGGTAAGTAACAGAACACCACTGGATATTACCTCTAATCCCCAGCTAAAACCCATCCAGCGCATCATTGACAATCTATAACAAATCCCAGAAAATGATCGCTCATTCTAACAGACCTTGGGAAACAGGTCAGTCCTCACTTACAGACAGTCCCCCCAACCTGAAGCAAATACTTACTAGAAGCCAGTCAATGCCCCCCAGAAACACTTATCTAGGAACCTACTTTTAAAACAAACCCCGTTGCCAACTCTGTCTACATATTTATACAAGCAACACAATCACAAGTCCTAACCACATAAGCCACAGTATTAGGGACTCATACAACTGCACATCCTCTAATGTGATATATGCCATCAAATGCCAGAAAAGCCCCTTTGCTATGTATATTGGCCAATCTGGAGAGTCTCTAAACCAAAGAATAAATGGACACAAATCAGACATCAGGAACATCAACACACATAAATCTGTAGACTACTTTAACCTCCCTGGACATTCAGTAATAGATTTGAAAGTAGCCATCCTTCTACAAAAGAATTTAAAAAACTGGTTACAAAGGAGGACAGTTGAACTAGAATTAATTTACAAATTCAACACTTAGGATCAAATAAGGATCTCAACTGGTTAATGCATTACAAAAACAATTTCCCCTTCCTCGATATTTACATCTCCACCTGGTGTGGAAAAAAAATGAATAAGGAAAAGGAGAGGGATCATGTGAGGATTACCTATTGTGTTCCCTCCCTCTGGGGGATCTGGTATTGGACACTGTAGGCAGACAGAATACTGGGCTAGATGGATCTTTGGTCTGATGCAGTATGTTCACACCAAATGCTGTGAATGACACTCTTCCACCCTAATTTGATTAGCTTCATTAAAACAAGCAACTTCTCCCTTATATATACCCGTTTCTGTAACTTGCACTCCAATTCATCTGATGAAGTGGATTTTACACATAAAAGCTTATGCCCTAATAAATCTACTAGTCTCTAACAGTACGTGTACACTAGCCCCCTAGATCGATGTAGGGAGGCTAATGAGAGCGACCGGAATTGCAAATCAAGCCCGGGATTTAAATATCCCATGCTCGATTTGCATGTTCCCAGCCGGTCGCCAATTTAGAAATTGACTAGCCCGAAGTAACTGCCCGCGTCTACACGCAGCAGTGAAACGGGATTCCGATTTAAAGCCCTAACTTGAATTAGTTGGTAATCCTCCTGCAATGAGGTTTACCAGCTAATTCGAAATAGGGGCTTTAAATCGGAATCCTGTTTCAGTGCTGCGTGTAGACGCGGGCAGTTACTTTGGGCTAGTCAATTTCTAAAATGGCGACCGGCTGGGAACATGCAAATCGAGCATGGGATATTTAAATCCCGGGCTTGATTTGCAATTCCGGTCGCTCTCATTAGCCTCCCTACATCGATCTAGGGGGCTAGTGTACACGTACTGTTAGAGACTAGTAGATTTATTAGGGCATAAGCTTTTATGTGTAAAATCCACTTCATCAGATGAATTGGAGTGCAAGTTACAGAAACGGGTATATATAAGGGAGAAGTTGCTTGTTTTAATGAAGCTAATCAAATTAGGGTGGAAGACCACCAGATTCCTTGTTTAGGAGAAAAAGAGCTATACTCAGAATTTGAGTATATATCATCAGGTTGCCTTTCCCAGACATTTATCTGATTTTTGCAAAACTTGGTGTATTTTTTTTCTTCACAAGGGACTCTTAATTCAGAATTTGCCGTGGGAGTGTTGGAATTTAAATATCCAATGTTCAGAGGTGTTCAAGACTTCTGTTAAAGCTGTAACTTACTGAGTACTTAGTGGGTACGTCTAGACTGGCAAGATTTTGCACAAAAGCGGATGCTTTTGCGCAAAAACTTGCCAGCTGTCTACACTGGCCGCTTGAATTTGCACAAGAGCACTGACTTTGTAATGTACAAAATCAGTGCTTCTTGAGCAAATACTTTCACACTCCCACTCGATGAAAAGCCCTCTTGCACAAGAATACTTGCGCAAGAGGGCCAGTGAAGACAAAGAAGAACTGTTTTGTGCAAAAAAGCCCCGATACCTAAAATGGCGATTGGGGATTTCTTGCGCAAAATCGCGTCTAGACTGGCCACGGATGCTTTTGCGCAAAAGCACATTTGCGCAAAAGCATCTGTGCCAATCTAGATGTGCTTTTGCGGAAATACTTTTAACGGAAAAACTTTTCCGTTGAAAGTATTTCCGCAAAATCATGCCAGTCTAGACGCAGCCAGTGTGTTTAGCACCTCTGAAAAGCAGGCCCTTAATATTTAGTCCTATACAAATCTGCCAGGGTAAGTGTAATTATAACTGTATTAATGCATATATTATTTTGGATGATGAATCTGGACAAATAATAACAAAGATAAGCAAAGTTTGTCCTAGGAATAAGAAAACCCCACACAAATAATGTTGTTTTCAATGCTACACCTGAAAGAACGATTTCTCCTTCCTATTCACTTTGAGATGAGAGTAGATGAAATGATAAAGTCCTCCAAAACAATTCGCATTGCTTTAAAGACAGCTGAAGGCACTTTGATAATTTCTGATCACAAGATATAAATACTATAATCATCTATGCTTTACAAACATACTTTTTATAAAATAATAAAACTTTCCAAAGTCAATTTATTGAAATAAGTTTGCATGGAATTAAAGCTTCATTGTTACAAATTTTATGAATATTAAATCTGGATCCATTTCAAGGCTTTAAAATGGCAAAAACCCCAAGTTCCTATTCTAAGCATCAAGCAGGTTAGAAAGGAAATATGATAATATTTTCTACATGTTTATCATTCTACAATATTTTAGTTCTCTATCTCTTTATATTTACAGCCACAATGGTTTTATTGGGTACTTTCAAGACAAAAAGTAGATATTAGTGTTTGCAGTCACAAAAGTTTAAAGGGAAAGGATTACCTACTAGCCTTTTTGAATAGCAAGGAGTGCTTAATAACCAATACAAGACTGCCTTCCATTCCATTCCACATCAGTCCTCAGTGGGTAATGTTTAGCCTGTCACTGCTACTTAACATCTTCATTATTCTTGTCTCTGAAATGCTTATTGCCAGCGCTCAACAGTAGGAATTTATCCAGAAATATTATTGTTTCAGCAGCGCTGTGCAAAGAAAACTGCCAAACATTTCCTTTTAATTGATTTTTCTGAATGGGATAAAAAAATTTACTTTTTGCCCTGTGTATAGTATTTATTTTGTGTATTTGCTCCAAACTAAACACAGTACAGGTTGAACCTCTGCAGTCCGAGATTCTCTGGTCTGGCAACATTCATGGTCTGGAAGGCCAGTTTTCAAGCTTAGAGCTGCAAAATCAGGCATCTAACTCCATATTTAGGCTTAGTGGAAATGTTATGTGAATGCCAGCATCCAAGACTGATAATCTGACCCTAAAATTAGAAGTGGCTGAGAAAGTGCCATTTAGATCTGGATCTAACTAGGTTTAAAGTTCAGTAATTAATTTCAAAACTGAATCAAGTGAGAGATTCAGTTCCACAGTACAGAAACCAACTATTCTTCTCAGATTTTGGCTACATCTAAACCAGAACTAAACAAGCCTATACAATTTTACAATCAGACCCTGAATTAGTTATTGAGTTGAGTTGGTATATGAGTTTGAAATCCAAGTAACTTCCCAGTTTCAAAGATAATCATATTAAAACTTCTAGATTTGATCAAACTTGAAAAACAATAGTTTCTATTCTCAAAGTATCTTCCATCAATGAATATAAAAATAATTTAAAAGCACTAATTAATTAAACCTTCTTAATTACAACTTTTATATCCAAGTGTCCCCCAATAGAGGAAGATACACTTGTGCATCTGAGGGCTGAACTCTTTTTTAAAAGACTATCCAAAGAGAGGAAGCTACAAGAACAAACTACAAGGTAACAAACCATCTCTGTTCCATTCTGTCATGGATGATGCTATTCATTACCATTTTATCTGACATACTACTGATATGTATACTACTCTAATCTACCACATTTGGCCAATTTATGATTGGTTAGGCAGTCCGCTAACTGTCCATGCTTCTTTTTGTGTTTACAGGAAGCCAAAGTTTAAAAAATCAGTTATACTCAGGTGAATTTAAACTCAATTTCTTTTAACTTGCCATATTTTAATAAATAAATTGTAATATCATGTATCATCCCAATTACTACCCTAGAAGATTTTTAACAGACCCAGGTTTGATTAAACAATATTGGCATGTAAAATCCACCATCCTTGTTTGTCTTTAGTACTTAAGTGGTGGGGATGATCAGCCGGAAAACCTTATTCATTAAAGTAAAGATCATACCTGATAACTGCATTAACTGAAGCATCTGTATCTGAAGAGTTTACTAGCAAAATATCCGTCCCTGTAGGTGCATCCTCAGGAATGGTGGTAGAATACATCTTAAAGGCAAATGTCGGAACATTGTCATTGACATCATCCACTATGACAGCAATAGTTCCAGTGCCAGTAAGGGCAGGCAATCCTGGGGGGAAATGGGATTTAAAATGCTAGAGGTTACAAATAAAACAATATTAATACTGAATATGTCACTCTTAATTTTGAATCTAACACTACAGCGTGTCACAATTCCCAAAGCCAATTCAATATAAAGAACAAGGCTAGTTTGGTTTTTAAAGTAGGCCATCTGAGTGCAAAGTACAAGTCACATACACACACAAATTTTTCCATCTCATATTTTGTAGTGTAAGTTCTGGGCATAAAGATAAACTGGCAACAACACAGAAAGCCTTGCCTGTAATAACCAGGCCCAATTTGAAGATGTGGTTGATTTTTCTTTTTCTCTAATGGAAGTCTGTCATAGATGGCACATTGACAGCCTTGGAGACTCAAGCCCTCAATTTATTTATCCACAGAATAAATAAAGCAGAGGCAATGGAATGATAGTTTCCTTCATTTCATTCCCTCATGTGTCACAAACCTGACCTGGAGTGATCTTCTCTGAGGACTGGGGTATACTTCAATTTCCAGACTCATTCAAACTTGATTTTTTTGATGGAATGGCCAAATCACAGTGTTTACTGTGATGTGGATACTGGTTTTCAAGAAACTAGACTGAACTCATTTAACCTACATTTTGTCTTGTTTTTAAGTATTAATCTAAGATGGATTTAAACAAATGAGAAATACTGAGTGGTCTGTTCATGTTTAATCTTCCAATATTTACTCTGTGCGTGAACCATTTCCTCTATCAAATGCAAACTAAGACTTAGAAAACGTTAACAAGGGACCTAAATCATGTTAGCTTCACCAGGATTTGCATACGCGCTGTGGGGCAAGGAACAAATAAAATTATTCTGCCAACCAAACTAATCACTTCAGTAGATTTCTGAGCCTGTCCTTCCCCTTCTGGTCTATGAAACAATAATACTATATTTTTCATTGTTTTAACTCTGGCACAGTAACCTCCTGCCTAGAAGGAAGAATCTGTGATAAACTCTCCAGCTGGACAGCAGCCAAAGCCACTAAAGTACATGAAGGAACTGTGCATAAAGCACAAAGGAAGGGAATGAAAGAACTGCAAAGTGAAACTTACCAAAGAATTCCATAAGTTTCACTTTAAAATCTCTGCTCAGACAGGCTGGATCATTACACTGAGTGGGATGCTGCTGCTGGCTCAAAGGGTGCATATTTGACACCACTATTTTACACAATGCAGTTCTTTTTATGCTATGTACTGAGTAATTCTTTTTACCAGTAATGTTCTTCAGCCAAGAATTTTACATGAAGCTACCAGTCTGACTCATTTTGCACCCTGTTTTCATTTATGTCATTTAGCAAAACACTTACTGAGAGAAAAGGCTACAAAAAGTGTACTTGACTGCTGAAATATTGCTCACGGAGTGTTTATTATTACTACATTAAATGAAACAAAGTCTTCAGTTATTGCATATGTCAACTACACGCATGCCAAATACATGTAATTGTCTCATTCACCTGACAGTTAATGAAATGCAAAGTTGAAAGTTATTACATTTCACAGATGATTAGGTATTGTAGACATACTGGAAAAATTAATCTAGGATAAGTCATATTCAAATAGCAGTAATAGTGTAACTCAACTAGGAAAAGAAAGTTAAAGTTGACAGAAAAGGCTTCAAGTCCATCTTTTTATAAGTAAATGGCAAAGATGATGGATAGAGAGCACTGCAAACTTTACCTCTTGGTTTATTCACAGAATGAAGAAATACAACTGAACTAATGGCAACGCAAGCTTCTCCACAATGCTCCTTCAATGTATCTCAACACTAACCTAATGGGATTAACTAAGAAAGAAAAGGAGAAGGAAGAGTGTATTGTTTCCTAGGCCTCTTAAGTGAAATGGTCAACAAGGATGAAAATTAAAAACATTGAAGACATTTTCTATGGAAAAGTAGTGACATGGGGCCAAATTCTGCAAACCTCAACCAATCAGAATTCACAACACTTTCACTGGAAGTTCTGCATCATTAATGACCACAGATTTTGATTCTTTTTAAATTTTGTAAGTATATACACTGCATTAATCATAAATGCCATATCTGTGGTGACAAATGTAGTTTCCATGGTCAGGCCAAATTCTCTGATTTGAATTCTGCTTTGATAGCTGTTCTTTCTGACGAATTCTCTTCTTATAATTTTTCAGAGGATTGCAGATTTTTCCCCAAGTTTCTCTGAATATATTTCATAATTAAGTTTAGTACATTTTCCATGAATTGTAGCTATGGCAGTCACATGCCCAAAGTTAAAAATGTACCATTAGGGTTTCTGATTTACTACTGCCTATTATAAATTATGCATAACTGAGACCTGCTCTTCTGTACCAACAAAAGCAGTAAAAGAGGAAGAGACAGAAGGATTTTATCAACAGTTTGATGGCATTATAGATGAGATTCCTGGTCATGATTTTGATAATGAGAGATATAAATGCAAATGAACAGTGTTGGGCCACATAGCACTGGGACTGCAATGATAAGGGGGAAAGTTAAAAACTTGCTGTGAGATGCACAAGCTGATTATTGGTGGTGCATAGTTTCTTTGCACACATATATACAAGATTAGATTAAAGTCAACATTTAGCTGAAACTAAAACCTATTCTGACCACATTACTTTCAGTAACAGGCACTGGTCACTGTTGGATGTTAATTCTATAGCTGTACCGAGTGTGGCAGTGATCATGTCTACTAATGCGAAAGATTCGGGTTAAGTTAAAGTCCAAGAAAAATATGGGTGGAGCTGGAGTTAAATTTGACCTTTAAAAGTTAAAGGATAGTTCTGTGAGAAAGATGTATAAGTTGATGCTTAGAGATCATTTCAGGCCACTGATTTGTGATGACGAAGAAATCTCACCACAGACTGGATGGAAAATATTCAAGAAAGTGATACAAAATACAGCTGAGGAAGTTATTGGGAGGCCTAAGCAAACAATGAAAACCTGGAAAAACACCAAAACAAGAAAACTGCAGGAAAAGTACAGACAAGCCAAGAGTGCTGGAAAAGCAGAAGTAGTAAAAGCATTGCACAATGTGCTAAAGGAATCACAAAAATTGAAGAAGCAAAAGTTCTGGAAAGAACAGGCTCAACAACTAGACAAGACATCAAGAAAACAAGATATGACAATGAGGTTAAGTGGTATGAAGCACAATCAGGCCATTGATGCAAATGGTAAGAATGCTCACTGACAACAAATGCCAAAGAGGCGCTGAAAATATGGAAAGAACTTTCTGACAAAGTGCGGAATCCTTTAGTTTATCCAGATACAAACATTCTAGACGAGGAGTCCTGTGGCACCTTATAGACTAACTGAAGTGTAGGAGCATAAGCTTTCGTGGGCAAAGACCCACTTCGTCAGATGCATGCTGACGAAGATACTAGAGATACTAGAACAAAGGCAGCTCGCAAGACAAAATGTATATCAGCTTTGAAACACCATCAGAAAAAGAAATAGAAAGAACAAGAATTGGTGACACTTCAGGAATAGATAGTATTACAGCTGAGCTGCTAAAAGGCCATCAGGATAAGTGTTATCAAAATATTAGAGAAAACATATATAAAACAACACAGGAGCAAGAGAAGGTAGTGGGGGTATGTCTACACTACCCCCCTAGTTCGAACTAGGGGGGTAGTGTAGACATACCCTGGGTGACTAGCTAAATGCAACAGTTCTGCCAGCCCTGAAAAAAAGGAGATCTTACTAATTTGAATAATTATGGAGTTGTAAAATAATTATTAGTAATAGGAAAAATCATGTTGAAAACAGCTGGCAACAAAATAATGCCAGTTTTAGAGAAAGTATTAGAGAATGAACAATGTGGCTTCAGATTAGGCAGAAGTTCCATTGACCAGATATTCACACTCTGACCACGGATGGGGGAGGGAGAAGTGAGAATGGGAATTAAAGATGTTCACTAAGGCATTTGAGTCATACTGTAGGGAAGCATAAAAGAAAGTAGTAAAATCACATGGGAGTTCCTGGTATGATAACTGCGAGTATAAAAGTTATATACAAAGACTCCTGTAGTACTCTAAGAACTAGCAGATAACTAAGTAAGAGCATGTCTACACTTGCTCCCTAGTTCGAACTAGGGATGCAAATGTAGGCAACCCAAATTGCTAATGAAGCGGAGATTTAAATATCCCACGCTTCATTAGCATGATCTCCCCGGCATGTTACTCCTCTGAACAGCTGTTTCGAAAGTGAACGTGCACGCCGGGAAGTGTTAGTTTGAACCAAACCCCGTGGTTCTCATTTGAAAAAAAATGAGAAGTAACGTTAGTTCAAACCAAAGGGTTTGGTTTGAACTAACGCGTCCCGGCGTGCACTTTCACTTTTGAAACAGCTGTTCAGAGGAGTAACGCGCCAGCGAGATCATGTTAATGAAGTGCAGGATAATTAAATCCCTACTTCATTAGCAATTTTGGTCACCTACATTTGCATCCCTAGTTCAAACTAGGGAGCAAGTGTAGACGTACCCTAACTGTTTCAAGTCAAAGTTTGGTGTAAGACAAGGGAGCAGGGAATTATCATGTTCTGAAACTGTATATTAGGAGTGACAGTACGAAGGTTGACTTTAGCTTTGCACTTCGTCTTCTTGTCATTTGTTGTTCAGGGAAAAGGGACAAAAGATGAACTATTAAAATGCAGCAACGGTGAAGTCACAGAACACAAAAATATACCTAGGCAGCTTGATCAGCACTGAAGGTTCCATCAAAGATTAGGTTAAAAGAAGATGTACTTTAACTACAAATGCTGTAAAGAAGTTGATGAAATTATGGACTGATAGGTAGAGATGACACTTCTTCAGAAGATGGCAGATTCAAAATGGAATATTTTAAAGATAAATGAAGAAGTTTGAAGGGTAGTACACTCCTCTATGAGATGAGTAAGGGACTGGCTGCAATCCAAAAGATTACAATGGTGGGGACATTGTAGAAGAGAAACAGATGATAGGGTGCCAAAGAAAATCATGTAAATACAACAAAAG